CTGCTCAGCCATGGAGAAGCTGCTGTTGCCTCTGAAACGCCCCATTAAAGCCGCAGTGAAGGATCAGCAGGCAGGGCTGGGGGCACTGGGCCACAGGCTGGGAAGGGTGAGGGTGGAGTGGGCTAGTATCCCTCTGGCTTTGCTGGGAAACCTCCATGTCTTTATTTTGGGGTGGAAAAAGTTAGTTTATGGCCAAGTACCCTCCAGGCATGGCTGTAAAACATTACAGGATTCTGGGTTTTGTGCATTTTGGCTCTTCTTCATATGATGTTGGAGCGGAGAGAGATGCTCAGGGTTTGGGCAGTTCTTCCTGCACTTCAGTATCCCCACCTTTGTGAGCCCCAGCCTTTGGCTAACCCTCAACCCTACTGCCTACATTGTCTGTCACCTTTCACAGTCCCCCGGGCAACTGCTCTGCCGACTGTCTGAGCCCTCTGCACCTGCAGAGAGAGCTCTCCTCGCTCTCTGGCCGGCTCGGTGTTGCCGTGTGCTGCTGCAGGTACTGCTCTCCTCCATCGGCCGGGATTAGCGCTGTGGTCCTGTCTGTGTCCCTGCCTGGCCGGAGCAGGGAACGCTGCCTGTTGCCCTCTCTCTGTGAGGGACAGCAGCGTCCAGGTTGCTTCTCCACCTGATAGTTTCACCTGAAACTATCCACTGGTAGTTCCCCCTGAAAGAGGTATTCAAGGCAAAACTCCTGTGGGTGTTTTGCTGGCATCCCCTCACTCCAAATTCTCCTAGACACCTCTTATGATATGAACTCCCAGTTTGCTAGCAGCCCTTGTCTCCATTCAGCCCAGTTTGGACTGCTTGCCCCTAAAGCTGTGGTTGGTGTTGTTTTTTTTTGTCTCTGCCTTTCTGAAAGAAGGGGTGCTAGTGGAGAGGTTTCAGGCTGATGCTCCTTGCTGGTTTTGATCTCTTGTGGGGAGCAGGAGCTGGCACCATTCTTTCTCATCCTGCACGAGGAAAGGGGGGTGTGTGCACCATTTCTGGCTAGAACTGGGCTAGACAGGAATGATAAAGAAGCAGGCAGGAAGTTGGAGATGGAATCTGGCTCTGTCCTGCAGATGTGCTAAGGGAGATCCTGGGAGAGAGAAGGGATGGTGCTGGGGTGGCCCTGGGTTGTGGGGGTGCCGTGCTGAGCATCACAAGGGGAATGGGAAGAGCTTTCTTCAGCACCTGCTGTGCTCTCTCCAGTCCCTGCTGTACAGAGAGGCACAGACCCCTCCCAGAGTCACAGTCCCTCACCTGCTGCTCCTTCCATCTCAAATCCTCCCCTGACCTGCTTCCTGTCTTATCTCAGTCTAGGCTACTCCAGGAGCTGCCTCCACACTTCCCAGCTGCCAGGAGGTTCTGTGTGGGATGAAGGACATCAAAGTTTGAGACCAAGCCTGGACCCCAGCCAGGCTGGGACTGATGCCTCCATGTCCTGGTTCCTCTCTCAGCTCCTGCTTCTTGCTGTTGTAGCCCTGTAGCTGCCCCTTGGTACCCTCAGCTTCGTGGGAAAGGGAATGGGAGGGCTGCAGCTCACATCTCTGCTGCTAATGCTTCATCTGCAGCGTTTAACATCCCTGATGAACATGAACATGAGCTCTTCTCTGAAGGAAAACCCTTCTGTATCTGACCAGTCTAAACATGGTCCCAGTTTTGCAGACCAGGGCAATGGGACAGTGGGGCAGCAGGACAAGATCTGATGGGACCATGCTGGTAAGCCTCTTGCAGGGATCACAGGCCAGTGGCTGCTTGGTGTGCTGGGGGCACAGCAGGTCCCCAGGTCTTTCTGCCACAAGGGGCTTTCTTCCACCATCTTCATAGCAGTTTGTCCTGAGGCCCAGCTGGTCTCAGGAGCACAGGGCTGGAGTTTCTCTTCTCCCCAGGAGAGCCAGACAAGCCATTTAACCTCTGTGCCAGGGGATGGAGGGGACCCTCACCCTGTGGACCAGGGGGCTTATCTCAGATGGCCTGTGAAGGAGCTGACAGGCAGGCAGAATTTCCTTGTTCTGCCTGGCATGGGCGAGAGCCTATACAAAAAGGTTTTTTACTTAAAAACAAAAGGGGGTGGGGGTGTCACTCTTGATGCAAACACAGGTGGGCTGGGAAGCACCAAGGGAAGAAGGCAAATGCCTCTGTGCAGGCCCCCATCTTCCCTGCAAGGAGCAGATTGTGGCCATGATCCAAGGCAGCAGCAGCAGGGGTGGGGTGAGCCCAGCAGCCGTGATGTTGCCTGTCCCTGGCTGCTGTCACCGACCTGCTCATTCCTTGTCCCTTCCCAAAGGTGGGGTGGGATGGGGGCTGTGGAGGCTTTGGCTGCAGGCCTGGGGATGGCTGACAGGAGCGTCGTCTGTCATCCCCTGTCAGGCAAAGTGTGGCCACCCCTGCGTGATCCCACACGGGCTTGATTTTACAGCCATGACTGGCACTTGAGCCTGTTTGCTGAGGGCAGGGGGCACGCGGGACTGTCAGCTTGCAGCTGCCTCTGACCCCGTACAGGACACCATAAATCTCCCAATTTAAGGCAGTCTGGGCTGTTCTGGAAATGGTGCTATTGAGTAGACTGTGGTGTGCATGGTAACATGTGCCTGCCTGGTCCCGTGCCCACCAGGGATAAAGTAGAGGTGGCCTCTGGTGAAGGAGAGCAACATCTGGGAATTAGACTGAATTCCTTAATTTTTTAATATATGAAAAAGCATGGATTGACTGAATTTAGAGCATCAGGAGTGTCTAGTGTTTCCTGCTCTCGTTTTGCCTGGTTTTCCTCAGGCAGTGCAGAGAGGTGAATAGGAGGAACCACCTCACCTGTGCTGTGGTACATCAGCTGTTCACACAGCTCAGCCTGGAAGGTTTTTCCTCTGACCATGTGCTGTACTGCTGAGCTGAGTGTGTGAATGTGTCGTGCCCTTGGAAACCAGCTCCTGCTTCTGCCAAGCACCTTCAGTGCCTGTCCTGCTTGCTCCTGGTCCTCCTAAATTCTTCCAGTTAAATGCTTGGGCTTGGCCCAAGATTTCTTCCTAAACATTGGAAACCCTCTTAGAAACATCTTTTTGCACCAAAAAAAAAGGGAAGGAAAATGAACAATGAACCAAATTTTGGGGTAATTTTGGCCAGCACAAGGCAGTTGCTCATCCTGTGCTGTACTGGGTTTGTTAATACTGATGCAGATACTGTTTTCTCCTTGGGCCCTGTGGGGTCAGCCCAGTGACGGGGCAGTGCCCAGGCTCCCCTGCCTGCCTGCAGCACTCCTCAGCAGTGAGGATGCTGAGCAAGATCAGGTGAGAACCCTGGGAGATCCATCCCCAGAAGTGACAGTAGGCAGAGTTTTGGGGTGACACATTGTGTGGTGGGGAGAGATGTTGGTGCACTTGTGTCTAGGGTTGTTGGGTGCCTGAGCAAGGGGGAAAGTGCGCAGGCTGGGTGTCAGTGTGCATGTGAGAGAGAGACCTGTCCTGTGGCTGCAGCTGCTGTGATTGTGTGTCAGGCAGAGGGTTGTATTTGTGGCTGGGGTAAGCAAAGCAAAGCGTGGATAGCTGTGCTGGGGGGTGCAGAGTGTGCGAGGGGTGCGAGTGAGAAGGAGGGGACCCCACGGGAAAGGCTGCACGCGTGTGCCAGCTGTGTGTGTGTGACGGGGACTGTGTGCAGGCTGTGCGTGTGCGGGTTGCCTGCATGGCTGTGCGTGTGCAGGAGGGCTGCACAGGCGTGTGCGGGGCTGTGTGCGGGGCTGTGTGTGTGTGTGTGCGGGGCTGCGTGTGTGTGCGGGGCTGTGTGTGCGTGTGCGGGGCTGTGTGTGGGGCTGTGTGTGCGTGTGCGGGCGGGCCGTGCACGCCCGTGTGTGAGTGTGGGTGTGCTTGTGCGGCGGGGCAGCCGCCGCGCTGTCACTCAGGGGCGGCTGACAGGAGCTGCCTCTCCAGCGGCGGCAGATAGCGCTGATTGCTGATTCGAGGAAGCAAAATAGCAATTGTAATTATGGGCTCTGATAAGATAAAGGAGGGCGCGGGGAGCGCGGGGACCGGCAGCGGGGCACGGCCGGCAAATTAGCAGCTGTCACTCAGCGCCGAGCAGGCGGCGCCGGCCCCGGCCCCGGCCAGGTACCGGCCCCGGGGGCCGCCCGCCGCAGCCCCGCCGCAGCCCCCGCCCCGGTGCGCAACAGGTGGCGGGGCCGGGAGGGCCGGGGCTCGCCGGAACAATGCAGCCCTCGGTGGCCCTGCCCGGGCTGCGGGGCTGAGCCCCGTCCCGCCGCCGCCCGGCCCCATGGCCCCGCAGCGCCGGCCCTGAGGGCGCCCGCCCGCTCTGCAAGGTAAGCGCCCGGCGGGGGATGCTCGCGAAGAAATCGGGGGTGTCCCGCTCCCCACCCCGGTTGCGGAATTTGCTCAGCCTCACTCCTTCTCGAAACTCCGGCCCCCTCCATCCCCCTCCTCCGGTAATCCTTTTAATGTCTGGCACGTCCCGGGAGGGCTCGCCCGCCCGCTCCCAATCCACAACGCGCCCGCGAAGCGGCGAACCCCCAGCGGGGGGAACCGCGTCCCCGACCCACCCTCCGAGCCCTTAAACCCCGTTTTACGGATGGGGAAACTGAGGCACGGGCTGGGGAGGGAGTCCCGCCGACCACTGGCCGCGGAGCCCGGTCCTTAGCGGCAGCCCCAAGCCCCGGCGACACCTGGCCCGCCGCTCGCTCCGCTTCGGCAGGTACCGCCAGGACCGGGAGGGGAGCCGGGGTCCGGCCGGGCTTCCCCCGCTGCGGCTGCCGCCCCCCGGCCGCGCCCGCCCCCGCCGTCGGGCTGAGGGTCGGCTTCGCCTCCCGCGGAGGCAGCGGGGCCGCGCCCCGGGGGCTGGCCGGGCGGTGGGGCCGCCGGGCCTTTCCCCTCTGTAGCCGCTTGTGCCCTCCTTTCTTTGGGGCGAGGACGTGCCGGCAGGGCGAGAGGAACCGAGGAGCTGAGACAGCGCCGCGCCCCCCGGGCGCTCCCCGCCGCCGCCGGGCCCCGGGCCCCCGGCCCCGCATCGGCGCCGCGATGGACCCCTGCTCTTCGCTCTTCAGCTACGTGTGAGTACCGGCAGCCGCAGCCCTCCCGCCCCGCGCCCGCAGGCCCCCGGCTCACACCTCTCCCGCTTTTCCCCCTCCCAGGTTAATGCACTTGTTCGTCCTCTGCCTGCAAGCCCAGGTAAGTGCCCGCCGGGCTGCCCGGCTTTGTTCGCCCCGCGGGGATGGGGGGTGCCCCGCCGCCGCCGAGCGGCTGGGCAGGGAGGGAGACAGGGAAGAGGAGCAGTTTAAAACCCAGGAGACAAAAGTTGCCAGGTTGCAAAAAGCCGGAGCCGAGGGGGACCCCACCTTTCCCGGGACGCAAAGTAAGGTGCGGGGGACTCCGGCTGCGAGGCAGAGAGTACCAGGATTTCAAGGAAATACGCAGGGTTGTCTTAATGCAGCTTTATTCCTGTCCCCCCGACCTCTAATTACACTCTGGATACCCCTGTCCCTCTGCTCCGTTTTTTTCCCCCCAGTACTGCTTCATCCAAAAAAGTAAAGCAGAATTTAAAAAGGGAAAAGAAACCCTGCAAAAGCCTTAGTAAAAAGTGCAGGTTTTGATTCAGCTTAAAAGTGTCAGACTTTAGCATCGCTGGTTTGTATCGGCAGAGACAGAAGTGACATGAATAGATTAAACATCCCGGGCAGAGCTTGTGCAACACCCGCATACCAGCAGGCACGCGTCGCTGGGAGCAGTGCGCCTCCAAAGCGGGGTGAAGCCCCCCTTCCCCCTGAGATTACAGGTGCAGAAGCGTTGTTTAAAATGCCCTTTAAGCTACTTTATAAAATTATTGTTATTTTCCTGGAAGCTTGGGGGGGAAAAAATGGAATTTCCAGCTGAAAAGTGAAGGGAACAGAGCACTGGGATTGTGCAGTTGTATAAAAACATAGCTGTAATATTTTGGAGTATGAGATGGAGACCAAATAGCAGCATGGCTAATGACCTCCCCTCCACATGGTACCCTCATCAGAGCTGGGGAGAGAATCCTGCTGCATTATCCAAAAACCTTCTATAGGAAACACACATGCACAGGCAGAAGCAGAGGGAGAGAGATGACATTGTCAAGGGGAGATATCTCTATAAAGCTGGCTTTGGGAGAGCAGCGGCTTTTGCTTTTATTGTGGTTTTCTGTTGTTGTTTAAGACAGGAGGAAATCTTCCCATTTGACGTGGGGGTGGTGGGGGGTAGCCCCAGCCTTCTGATGTTGAAAGGAGCGATCTCCTAACATTTGCTCAGAATACATCTTTATAAATGTCAGGGAGCAGCGAAACTTTCCAGACTTAAAAGAGGGATTTGAGACGAGGGGGGAAAAAGACTTCTGTGCCAGCTCGCGAGCCGGGGCTGAGGGGGGAGCAGGTTTGGCCGCTCGTGAAAATCATTTAAAGCCCAGGAGCAGCAGTGTTGGGTCTGGAGAGGATGGGCTCAGCTGCGGCTCGGTGTGCTGGGGCTAGGGATGACCCCGTGCTGGCAGCAAACAGCTGGCTGGGGATGAGAGCTGTGTTTGCACGGGTAGCATGTTGGTGTCCTTGGGTGGTTATACCACTAAATACCTGCCCTGGGGTATGGTTTTCTTGTAATTCTTATGCCTCATAATTCTACCATCTCTGTGAACTTTGTGTTTGAAGAACTTAATAAGTGGGGTACTTGGGAGCAAATAAAGAGCCTGAGACCCAGAGGACAGGCAGCTGTTGAAACTGTTGGGGTGTGTGCCCAGGGCAGCTGGAGCAGTTGTACGCTCCTGCAGAGGTGAGAGAGTTGTAGGATGAAAGCACCAGCCCCTGAGAGCAACATAGTGCCAACCTGTGTGTCCCACCTCGATCCCCTCCAGCTTTGATGCCCATCTCAAGGTACTCCAGTCCCAATCAGGACCCACCGAGTCCTGGAGGGGCTTCTGGGGTCACCAAGACCTGTTCTACTCCTGAGCTACCAGCACCTCTGCTTAGGGCATGTCTGGAGAGAGCACAGTTCTGTACAGGGCTCTCTGTCCCCGAGCTTAATGCTCCTTCTCCTGGAGAGGCTGTGATGGCACAGGAGGCACCGCCGCGGTCCTGGCTCCTGCCTCCCGTAAAGCCCAGCTGCAGACCAGCAATCTCAGCTCAGCCCGCTTGCCCCGCTGAGGAGTAGAGATTATAATGGTGTGTTGTATATTTTTTAATTTCCTAAAGGTAACTGTTCAGTCCCCACCTAATTTTACACAGCATGTGAGGGAGCAGAGCCTGGTGACAGATCAGCTCAGCCGGCGGCTTGTCCGTACCTACCAGCTGTACAGCCGGACCAGCGGGAAACATGTGCAGATCTTGGACAACAAGAAAATCAATGCGATGGCAGAGGATGGGGATGTGCATGGTAAGGACACACGATGGGGGGAGCCGGGGAGGTGTTCGCAGCCCGGCGTGGCGATTGATGATTTCCGTCCTGTTTGTTAGCCAGAAATCGTTAAAATCGTTCGGCTTGTGGGGGCTTGTAAAAGGAGAACATAGGGGTCAGTAATCAGCAGCTGTGTGATTCAAGGTGAGGGCAGGTTCCCTGTGCCAAGGGAGGGGACCAGTTCTTGAAGGATAGGTTCTGCTTCTTTCCTTTTAGTTCTTGGTTTGCACCTGACTCTGAGGGCTTGGGGCTGTGGCATCCTGAGCATCATCAGGTATTTTATCCCGGCTCTTTGCAGGGGTGGGAATCCCTGAGACTTTCTTTTGAAACAGAAATGGAAAGTAAATTTGAAAACGAAGAGGCAGGGAGGAGAAAGGGAATGACTGCTTTGGAAGCCTTCCCTGATCTAGGACTGTCTAAAGTGGCATTTTCCTGTCCCATCCCTTCCTTCTCAAAACCAATCACGGGGAAAGGGTCAGCGAGGCAGTCAGCTGCAGGCAAAGATGCTGCGGTGTCTCCAGAGACAAAGCAGGGGCTCTGCAAGCGTGAGAGCCGGCGCTCTGCCACGGCCCCTCTGCATCACCCTGGCACCCCCTCCCCAAAACCTCCACCCTCTCCGGGCCAAGGGGACCCATCCCTCCGCTGGGGACTCTGGAAGCCCAAACACTTTGATCGTGTTGGGATGGTCAGAGGCGGCGCAGGGGTCAGTGGGGCCAGCGAGCCCGGCAGCACCCGGGGCCGGCTGCGGGAGGCCTGATCCTGCACCCGGGCCAGGGAAGTGCCTGTGTTCCTGTGCGCTGCACACAGGTATCACAACTGTTTTTCTTTGGTATTAGCTGGATTTTCCCTTTCTTCCTTGGGTAGATTAGTAGAAACCATTTTTTTTCTTTGCCTGTCTGGTTTTTGGGGGCTATTTCTTCATTTTGCTTTGGCTGAAAATTTCATGCTGGACATTATCAGTACAAGCACAGTGCAGGTCCTTGTGATGTTCCATATATCCAGAATTAATCTTGCAAATGAATTATTCCCTTCCTGGAGCAGCTCTAACTTGAAAGGGCAGTAGCTAATTTCTGAAGCAAAAAAAAAAAAAAGAAAATCCCATCTTGTTTTAGACCTCTAACGCCTGGATTTTAAAAAACAGTTAGTGCATATTTAAATAACAACCAGGTTTAAATACGGCCAGAAGGAGGGGACTGGTGGTGGCTTGAAAAACTCTATTAAAATGTAATAAAAAAAGGTTAAGCATTTGAAGAGCTAAGGAGGAAAATGAAGACTGATCTAAACCAGAAAGAGAACAAGCAGTTTTTCAGATGTAAAGTTTTAAAAGAGTTGCAAGTCTGTAAATGTTAAAATAGAGGTTCAGGATTGTTCTGTATGAATCTCTAGGGAGGCCCCCATGTCTGGAAGAACTATTAAAACGCTTCTTACTTTCACCTTTTTTAACATTTCCTGAATACTTTCTCCTCTTCGCAGTCCAGTTGGGGGATCAAGTGTGTCTCGCTGCATTTTTTCAGCATTTACGTAGCCACTTTCCCTTCAAAGTTTGACCATGAAACATAATTTTACTGGGATAAATCTGTCACTTAAATGAAAGAATAGAGTTGAAAACGTTAAGCCTCCCCCCTTCCCCAAAAGAGGAAGGGGAATAAAAAAAAGGAATCCCCCCAAATGTTATTTAGAAATCCACTTTTGTAGCAAAGATCCCCCCTCCCCAAGCCCTTCCTTCTGCTTTTTTCTTTTTTTTTTTTTAGTCTCATTTTTGGGGGTGGGCGTGTAAAAGGGGTTGATTTATTTTTGCAGATGACCCCTTTCCCCACGCTGACACTTTTACAGCCGACTTAACATCGAGTCTGGTGTTTTCAGTTATTTGTCTTAATTGTCAATATTTGATTGACTTTTTTTAATTCTAAGGGAAGGCGGGCGGCTGGTGCAGCCCAGCCTGTCCCTCTCAGGCTGTGCTTGCCACCAAGAAAACCACTGCCAGCTGCAGTTTGGACTCGACCCCACGAGTGGCTGGAGACACCAGCGCAGCTCTCTGCCCACTTGCTGGCTTGTGTCTGTGCCCAGGGTTTTCTGTGGATTGGGGCTGGAGTTTGCAGGGCTCACACACTGCCTGCAAGGGTCTCGGGGTGCAAGTCCCTGGGGCCAGGTTGTCTTCATCCGCTGTGGATAAGGGCCTGGAGTGACACATGGGCTGGGCTCGTGCAGGCCAGCAAACCTGTCTGGTGGCTGTAAATCACAGCTGCCCTTTGGGGGGGACCCATGTGTCCAAAAGAGAAGCAATGTGCATCTTTAAAGCAGGGTTTTGTGCTCATTGGGGCCAAGGCCTCCCCACTCCCTCCCTCTTTCCCTCTTCATGCCTCCCTTCCTCCCTCCCTCCCAGCTCTTTCTATCTCTCAGAGAGAAAATCAATTCTCCTCAAACCTTTTACTGCCTCCAAGATCAATTCCACCCCTTTCCCCAATATAGATAAATAGGGGGTCACTGTCTCAGTGCTTTGTTTGTAGAGTGCCATCGCTCCCGTGGGTGGTTTTGGGGATGCTAGGTGCTTGTCAGGCTCTGGGCATTGATCAGCACAGTCTGCTCTTCCCAAATTTCTTGTCTCTGAGTTCAATTTGTCTGCCTAGGGGTAGGGGGATGTGAGTGCATGGTAGCCTGGGGACAAGAGATGCTGCAGGGCGATATTGACAGGAGGGGTGCCTGCATGCACATTAAGCTTGGCCTGTCTAACAGCACCAAATCAGTTGGCCCCAGCAAATTTGGGGATGACCTTTCCATTGGTCAGCTCAGCAGCTGCCAGTACTGCCTGCTTGCTGTCCCCACCCTTGGTGCCATTGACCTCAGTAGCATCTGTCATAAGCGGGACGCAGGGTTGAGGCACTGCAGAGACAGAAAGGCCATTTGCCCCTAGCCTAGAGTGTGATCTAGGCTCAGTTTCACTTGTGTGCACACCTACAGCCTCCTTGTGCTGTTTGAAGCATCCTCCTGCAGAGCCTCCCACTCCAGAGCCCCATCATTGCCCTCAGTGGGGCTCACTGGAGGCTGAGCATCCTGGGGTAGAGATGTGCAAACTGCAGTGAACTGCATTCCTGAGAAGCTGAGCAGCCCTTGTGCAGGAATCAGAGAGGAAAAATAAGGCATCAACGGGCTTAACCCCATAATAAGAGTGTAGGCTTGGAACCTTTGTGGTCTGTCCTCTCATTGCCTCCTGGACAGCACTTACAATACTATGGGCTGATGCTGGGCAAGAGGTGATGGGACAGTCACAGCTGGCTTTTCAGCATCGTGGGGAATTCTTTGGTGCTTGGCATGGCACAGACCTTTTGAGGTGCAAACAGGTAGCCACGGTTCCCAGCGGGGCCATTCCCAGCGGGGCTTGCTCTGGGGACAGCAGCTGCAGGAGCGGGAAGAAGGATGTCCTGTCCCCATCCTCCCCCCTCCCTGGGAATGGATGGGCTTTGGGGCTTGGGTTCCCAGGGTGAAGGCAGGGAGGGAAGGTGACAGGTCTATTTATAGGCGGCCCATCGACCCAGCAATTTGCATAGCTCCTTCGGAAGTCGATCGATGCCTCCATTAAAAAACTGAGACCAAATCAATACGCCCTCTCGACTCGTGCAAAGGTGAAAGGCATTAAAAGGGTGGCTGTACCCTTCACGCCTCCCCTGCCAGCTGCAAAGTCACTGCTCCTCCTGCAGCCCTGGCCTGGCAGAGGGACACGGAGCGGTGTCCCCTGGGCTGGGGACAGCTGGCAGCACACTGTGCACATGCAGAAGGTGCCTGTCTGGTTCTTGGCCACAGGCATACCCAGACTTGCCTCAGTTTGCAGGGCAGCTGCCTTGTTCTCTGCCAACCAGCGTGTGCCCTGCTCACTGCCCTGCCTCTGTCTGGGACATCTCTGTGACACCTGAACCACTGAGCTCTGTGGAGCTGGGTAAAACAGAGCTACTTCCCGTCCAGCACAGCTTAAGGTGGCAAAGGGACATGTCCAAGGTCATGCAGGGACATAAGGGCAAGTCAAGGGGCAGTGGGGACAGGCTGTATCTTAACCTCATGTGCTGATTTTAGGGCCAGAGACCACGTGCCTGCAGTGCCCAGCATCAGGGTGCATTGCTGGGGTCTCCATACCTGTGCCAGCCCTATCCCACAGCCCCTCTGACCTCCCTCCCTCTCTCCCCTGCTGCTCTCCCCAGCCAAGCTCATCGTGGAGACAGACACCTTTGGGAGCCGCGTGCGTATCAAGGGGGCAGCCACAGGTTTCTACATCTGCATGAACAAGAAGGGCAAGCTGATTGGCAAGGTAGGGTGCAAGGGTATGGGCAGGGAACTGCTGGGGACACGAGTGGGGACTGCCAGGAGAGGAGCTCTGCCTTTTGGGGGCAGGGGGACAAGCCATCCTGCAGCCTGAGGAGGAGCAAGAGAGGTGGGCGGGTGCCGTGTGGGGCACATTCCTTCTATCTCTCCGAACAAATAGGCGGATTGCTGGTCTATTCTCCACGATTACATGGTACAAGTGCCAGGAATGTTAAGATGCTCCATGGGGCTGGCCCCAAGGCCAGACCCCACCACCTGCTGGTTTGTCATGCAGCTTCTGTGCCTTGATGCCCCTTCCCGTGGTGGGGGGGCTGGACATGCAAAATCCCTCAGGAACAGTGATTATCTGCAAGGATTTTCCATGGCAGCTGCTTCCTGGGGGCTGCCTGATGTGGGTCCCTCTCTAGTCCTGCTACTGCCCATTATGGGGGGAGCTCAGTTCCTGGTTACCCCATGCTCCCTCAGCCACCTGCATCCATAGGCACCGTCACCACTAACCTTGTGTTGCTTGTCCTGCCACTCAATGCTCCTTGATGCCCCTCCTATATTAAAGACTCCAGAGGGACAGGATGGGTGGGTGAACTGGGATGGAGAGTTTGCTTATGGTTACATCCAGGCACAGATGGAGGCCAAAATTCCCTTATGGATATGGGGGAAGTTAAGGCTGGGACGTTCCCCTATGGATGTGGTGGAGGTTAAGGCTGGGACCAGCTGGACTGGCACGTAAGCAGCAGTGAGCAGTGTTTGTGTCACAATGTCTTCTCACTGCAGCTTGTTAGGGAAAAGCACATTTTGGGCAATTCTGACTTGTGGGAGAAGTGAGCCTTTGGCTGCCCGCAAGCTCTGCAACCCTGCTGCCACCGCAGCCAGTGCAGGGCGGGGCAGTGAGAAGCAGCCCTCTGAGAAAGTGCCCGCTGCTTAAATCTCTGCTCCCGTCCCCTTCCCAGAGCAACGGCAAAGGCAAGGACTGCGTCTTCACGGAGATCGTGCTGGAGAACAACTACACGGCGCTGCAGAACGCCAAGTACGAGGGCTGGTACATGGCCTTCACGCGCAAGGGCCGCCCGCGCAAGGGCTCCAAGACCCGGCAGCACCAGCGCGAGGTGCACTTCATGAAGAGGCTCCCCAAGGGCCACCAGACCACCGAGCCCCACAGACGCTTTGAGTTCCTCAACTACCCCTTCAACCGGAGAAGTAAAAGGACTAGAAACTCCAGAGCGGGCCCTTGATGTGCCCGCCCCTGCCTCCTCTGCCTGCATCTCTCCTGGAGGATGCTCCTCTGAGCTTGCTGGACTATATGTAGAGACTTTCCCATATGGGTATCAAAGAAAACACAAAAAAAAAAAAAAAGGGGGGGGGGGGGATAAAAAAAATTACCTGCTCTAGTTGTTGGTGCTTTTGGGGGGGGTGTTTGGTTTTTACAAAAAAAAGGAAAAAAAAAAAAGATGAAAAAAATGAGAGAGGCTCTATTTTTGTACTCCAGCTTTAAAAGTAATGAAACATTCAAAGACTGGTGAAGGGAGAAGAGCCCTTCACTTAGAAATGTTCTAGTCTGTTTGGGGTTGTGCTTTATTTTGTAATTTTTTTTTTTTGTAGCTCTAGGGGGAAAGGAGTTAAAAAATCATGTTTAAAACAAACAAGCAAAAAACCATAGAAATCCAAATCTGGAAGTGATGTGCTACTTAAATGAACTGAACAAATGCTATGCTTGCTGGAGAAGATGGCGAAGCTGGAACCAGCTAAGAGAAAGGGATTTATTTTGGAGGTGGTTGGAGGCCTCCTAGGTGGTTTTTGCAGCCTGGGTGATGTGGGGACACTGCCAGTGGGCGCTGACTGTGACACCTGGGGTGAGGACCACTGGATGCTTTCTTTCCTTGGATGTGCCTACTTCTTTGGCTGAGCAAGGGGTTGCTGGAAGTCGCATCTTTCTGAGAATGCTGCTGGCTTCACAACTCTCAACTTACGTTTTTTTCTCAGGAGGGGACAGGGGTGATGGATTCCCCAGAGAAAGTCCTGAACTGACTTGGTACCTCTTACCCACAGGAGCATCTTTGGCATTTGGTTTGTTTTAAAGTACTAAGGTACAGCTGCTGTGGAGCGGGCTGATAACTGGTATTATTTTTTCCCCATGTGGAAAATGTGAACTTCTCACCAAAAATTGATATTTTTTTCCTGTCTATATTTTTTTATGAGATGCAAGTTTTCATCCATAAAATTAAACAAAGTTTACAAATTATTGCGGAGCCATTTCAGGCTGTTTTGTTGTGATATTCAGTATCTTGTCATAGTAGTTGGGGCTTCCATTGCCAACCATCTCCTACAGGTTCTTCTTTGATCAGAAATACTGCCACCCTTGCCCCCCTAGAAAGAAAGGGGTTTCTTTCAAAATTTCTGTGTTGACAGGAGCCCAATTTTATATTTAGAAGAAAAAAAAAACCCAAAGGAAACATTTAATCTCTTGAGTGAACATCCTCAGCCAGCCCTGCTCTGCACATGCTGCCCTGGGACTGTGACTCTCCAAAGGGTTAAACCAATCATTCTTCATGGAGAGGGCAAACAAAGACACTGGATAGGAGCCAGAATCAGGGGTGACTTTTCATCCAATCTTTTTTGATTGTTTGAGGTTTTTCCTGTTTCCTTGAGGATTTTTGTTTTGTTTCAGTTGTGTACAAATTGAATATGAAATGATTGAAATATTTATTTAATATGTGCATTAAAAGTTTGTATTAGTCTAACTGAGCCTGATGCTTTCCAGGGAGGGGCTGGGGCTGGACAGACATTGGAGAGGGATGAAAGAGGATGGCAGTGAGGTGCAGGATGGGGCTGAGGCTGCTGGTTGGTGCAGTTTCCTTCCCCAGGGAACAGCTGTGGAAAGTGAGAGACTGCCCCAAGCTTTTGGACCCTGATGAGTCTTGTGGAAATCATGGTTTTCCTTGCAGCAAATTCCAGATTTAATATGCAGCTGCCAACTTCTTGAGACGTGGGAGCAAGGCCCACTGCAGGTCGAATGGGGACATAGTGCAATGGAGCCTTGACCACTGCTTTCAAGGATGGGATGAAACTTTCCAAGAGAAAGCTGTTATTTGCTCCTCTCTTTCCCAGATGAGCTTGAGGGCTGTGCAAAATGGGCTGTTGCATCCCCTCTTTCAGAGAATACTGAACCCTGCTGCAATGCTGGGTCTTGCTTACAGGAGCTGATCAGGGGTTCAGATATGGAGTGGTTCTAAGGTATGGAAGCACGCAGGAATAAAACTGTGGAGCGTGTTAAACCGCTCAAGTCTGGCAGCCCTGCAAGGTGCATCTCCCCATCACCGCTGCCGGCCCTGGGTTTGTTGCAATGCCCATGGGGTGCCTGTGACATCTCTTGGTGCTCACGCTGGGCCCTCCCCTGGCTGCCTCGGCAGCCTGGGCTGAGCCGCCGGAATTTGCCAATAACTTCAAGGAGGGAAAAGAAGGGGCTGAGCACTTGGCCTTGCCCTGCACCTGAGCATCGCGGCTGCAGCAGGGAGATCAGGGATGTTGCTTGAGCCACAGGACAGCCTGGATGGCTTTTGTCTGACTCTTCCAGGAGGGACCCAAGGGCTGCAGAAGCCTGAGGATTACAGTGGGGGCAGACTTTGTTGTGGTTTACAGACGACAGGAATTAAAAGTGAATTGCTCCTGGTCTTTCCCCAGGCAGAGATGGTGTTTGATAGTCCTTAATGGTTGCTTTTCTTCCTTTAATTTGTCTAACTGCTTTTCCTAATGGCTTTGCGAACATGAGTGAATTGGTGCCAGGTGCCTGCTCCAGGTACGGGTAGCAGAGGCACGGGTCTGGCTCTGTGTCTCCTGTCTTGTTACAAATGCTCCAGCTATGGTAGGGAAGGGCATGGTGTGGGTGCTCAGCCTCCAGTAAAGCTGTTCCCCCCTCCCTGCCATCCTGGGATGCAGCCAAGAGCTGGAGCAGTGAGCAGCCAGCAGCCTGGGGTTTGAGGTGGGTATGGACACTCCTGTGTCCCCGCATAGCTCCGTGCCACACTAGCCCCCAGATCCTGCTTCTGCCTGCCACAGTGAAAGGCACCCGGGCCTGGCCCTGGGAAGGGATCCCCAGCTCACTTGGTCCATGGTCAGTCAGCCACTTTTCATTGAAGGGCTTTTGGGTGGCCATGGAGCACTACAGCTTCAGACTTTGTATATTGTTTGAATTTGTCCGACTTTAGCTCCAAGTCAACAAGGGTTGTTTCACCATTGCTTGGAAGATTAAAGACCCCCATTCTAGTAAGTTAATGAGTAAGTGAATGAATTAATTAATGGTTCCTCATATCCTGTCTCTGCACTGATACCTCTTCATCCTTGGTAAGTCTGGAGGATCTCGTGCTCTTCCTGGGCCCTGCAGGCTGCTGTGTTACAGGGTCCCCAGGGCTGGTGGCTTCCACCACCCATGCAGGGAGGTGGGGACAGCCCCTGGTGGTACCTGCTGTCCCTCCACAGTTACAGGAACTCTGGCTGCTATTTGAATGAATAGGGTCAATCATCAACTGGGACTTTTCCTTTTTCCTCCTTCATCAGCAGGTGTGTGAACCAAGCTTGAGAATCACAGCCATCCAAGGGCCCTGGGGACCGCGGGGTGCTGGGATGGGGCTGGATGCAGGAGTGGGCTGGGGAGGAGGGCTTTGGGGATGGGTGTTTGGTTTTGTTAGCTCACGCTGTTAGTGTGGGTGTCTTGGGCAGAAACCCCTGCTTTGAGCTAGCAGAGTCCTTGTGGTGGGCATGTGTCCGTTCCTATTGCCACCATTCCCAGTGACACCCTGCAGCCCCCTCACTGCCACCAGCTGGCTCGAGGGAAGTGGCAGATGAAGCAGGAGAGGAGCCTTGCTGCTCTGGCTGTTGAAGCAGGGATGATGGCCCCATCCTGAGCTCTGAGCAGTGGTGTCCCTGCCTGGACAGGGCTTCGCCATGCGGTGCCATCCGGACGCAGTGACAAGGCTGGAGCTGATGACAAGGCTGGAGCTGAGCAGTTTGGGAGACTCCGCCTTGCCAGATCGTGGGGAAGCACACCTGGTCCAGCCAGCTAACACAGGATAAGAAGTAAATGAGGGGTGAACATGCCAGGGCAGCACCAGGCAGGAGAAGAGCTGTTTTCAGGTTAAATGCTGCTGTGGTTGCCCAGAGAGCTGTGGGTGCTCCATCCCAGGCAATCTGATCTAGTGGAAGGTACCCCTGTCCATGGCAGGGCATTTGGAACTAGAAGACCTTTAAAGTCCCTTCCAATCCAAACCATTCTGTGATTCTATGGCAGAGAAACAGAGTAGCAGGCAGCAATAAATTGAAGTGGCAAGAAAAGGGGCATGTGCTGTCTGAGCAGGGGCTGCACCCCTGCTTTTTCAGCCAAACCCCAAACCTTTTGGCACATGCTGTCTCTGCTCCCACCCCTTCTCTCAGTTTACAACTTTTCCATGAGGTCTGCTTGGATATGGTTGCCCACTGAGCTGGGTGGGCTGTAGGATGCTGTGGCAGGGCTGAGGCTTGCCCAGGCTTCCTTAGGCAGGCTCTAGCTTGGGAAGGACGACTGGGCTGTTTGTTTATTGCATCAGGCTCAGCTTTCAAACATTTCCCTGCCATCCCCCTCCCCCTCCTTTAATTAATTCTGGGTAAGAAGTTCTGGCTTTATTGTGCCACCGAACTGAGGGCTCCCTGTGGGAAAAGTCACACCTTCTGAACAGCTTCTGATACCATGCAAATGAAGGACAAGTCCAGGAAACGCTTTCATCTCAGACCTGTCCAGCCCCCTGCCCATTAATTACACACATTTCATTTGTGTGAGATCAATTCCTCTCGGGGAGGGGGCGGGGGGGTGGCTGCAGTTTGTGGATCATCTCAGCCCCCCTCTGTAAAGACTCCTCCTTGGAAAGGATTTATAGCCAGAAATGGGGATGCTCAGGGACTCAGTGGGGGATCTCATATTTTGGCCACTCCAAACCAAACTGGCTTGTTGGTGGGCTGCATCCTGCCAGCAGGGAGGGCTCAGCTCTGCTCCGTGCCCTGCTCCATACCAGCGAGCCCTGGCTGTGGAACCAAGTGGAGCATCCTAGAAACACAAGGTGGAGCAGAAATGAGCTCGGTGCTGTCACAAGGGAATCTCCCTCCAGGGCCAGGAGCTCATGAGATAGATTGCTTTGGGCAGGGTGGCCACAAAATGAGTCTCACATGTGCAAACATCCTTCTGTGCTGCTACAGCACTCAGCATGTGTTGAGGG